GTATATATATATATATAGTTATATATATATATATATATATATATATATATAGCTGCACACATATATCCATATATATATATGTGTGTGTGTGTATGTATATGTATGTGTATAGATTTATATGTATATATGTGTGTGTGTGTGTGCTATATATGTATGTATATGTATATATATATGCATATATATGTGTGTCTGTGTCTGTATCTGTGTCTATGTTCTCGTGTATGTATATATATATATACATATTATATGTGTGGTTCTGTGTGAGTATGAGTGTAAGTGTGTGAGTATATGTATATTTATATTGATATTGATATGTACAATAGAGTCCTATATGAGATTATGTCGGCGTCAATGTTTTGTTTCCTCTTCAAAAATCGCCTTAGAAATCCTCTATATTTACGATACTTCAAGTAGCTAATTCGGCCGAGGTAATTGGATTCTTGTTCTGTGTATCTTTAATAGGTTTTTGAAATGTCTCCGCATAGTCACGCTGCCCAAGACCTGACGCATTGATAGTTTTTTATGAACTGTGCATGGCGGGGTATTCACTATCGACATCCTTGATTCATCAAGCTCGCTTTTTTTTTTACGAAGTGAGAGACTGAAAGCACTAAAGCAGTCGTCAAATCCAAATACACATTCGACAATCGGATTGGTCGATATCTCTTTGCCACTATTCGAGATTGTCCAATGTCCGGTGTCCATCCAGTCCTCAGCTGCATTAGCAGAACACTGTAAAAAATATTTATATTAGCAGCAGTCCGCACTGTCACAGTCTATTTACTATTTACTATGGGGCTACGAGCCTACGGTCTGGCGAAGAAAAAAATGGCGATCCTTTTTTATTCAATATGTATTATTTATTTATTTTTATAAAACAATCAGTCAATGTATTCACTTTTAGGTCTCTTCTGTCGGAGAGTGAGAGTCACAGGCAGTCAGCAGACGAACCTTGATAGAAAGATATAAATAGTCAAAATTATATTACCTATAATACTAGTCAGTTCAGTTGAGTACTTGATAATTGGTCTACATATCCTCATTACCTCATATCTGTCATCAGTAGCTATGGTAGCAGTCGCAAACATGAGTGGCCAACAACAAGATCTTTTCGAGAAAGAGAAGAATGATCCGGCAATGATCGCATATCTTAAAGCTCTGGGTATCGACCCGGACTACAAGCCCCCCACGAACGACGATCGCCGTGTAGTGATCCAAAAGCTCGAGATCGTCTTCAAGGACGGGCACGAGTCTGCTGTGCTCGAAGTAGAGACGGTAGGGAAGCTAGAAGCATTTTGTTTTCTGTGTTCAATGAGCTCGCGGTTGTTTGTTTTCAAATTCCCAGCTTGTGCTATCATGTCTTTTTAATTCTGTATACACAATATTTGTGGTGCATATAAGTCGCGGGTCACGCTCGTCAGGCAGATCACGAAAAGCGAATTATCCACTACTGCAAACAATACATTATAACATACACTAAACGCTGTTATGGTTATATATACTCACTGTCAATTACAGCCAGAACAACAAGCAGCGGCAAAGAAAAAGCCCATGGTGATTAAAGAGGGATCCGAATACAAAATTCGTGTCACCTTCCGAGTACAACACACACTAGTAGCCGGACTTAAAATCATAAGTGTTGTAAAGAAGATGGGTGCCGAGCTTAATAAGGAAGAGGAGATGTTAGGGTCATACCCTCCCAAGAATGAGTTTGCTTCTGTGGATATTGGAGGCGGTGATTTTATGGAGGCTCCCAAGGGCGCGTTTAGTCGCGGTGAATACAAAGCACACATGAAGGTACTTTTTTGGCAGATAGTGCTGATGGATTATGACATTTCTGGTTCTAGGTGCTGTGGTCTCAAATGCGTTGCGTTCAATATTTTGACCCGATTTTATTGCTCACTAGTGCATGAAGTTGAAGTGCACTGTCTGTTTGTGTGCCTTTCGAGGTCGACATCACTATGCCACGTACGTACGTTAGAATTTTGGTCGAAGCATGGTACAAACTTTGACTATTAGTAGAATCATTTAAATTAACAGTGTTGGTTCATGCATTCTCATAATCACTTGGTCCTTCTAGTGTATACAGTCTTTCTGCCGTTTCTACTCGCTTACCAGCCTAAATTTACGCCGTTAACCCCATTTATACTGAGAACGCCGAGCAAGTCTTGTGTCACTGCCCTCATTCGTGAACGCAACAGTGGATGTACTGGTGGAGATTACCTAGACTGATTATAATTTGCTATTGGCTTTACCTCAAAACAGTTCATGGACGACGACAAGGCCTGTCATCTGGATTTCGAATACACGATTAAGATCTCTAAAGACTGGTGATTAGTATTCACTATCCAAAGAGAAAGATTTCATATCTGAATCAGAATAAACAGAATTGCATTTATTGACAACCTCAGTTATCTGGAATGGTTAGGTTCAATCCAGAAACAGTCGTTCGAGCAATCGGAAGAGAGTATGTCGCATAAACCATCATACTCCAGTAAACAAATAACCTCCGGCAAGTCTGTCAATATATATATATGTATATATATATGTTTGTCTGTGTGTGTGTGTGCGTTTGTACGTATGTGCGTAAGTGCGTATGCGTGTGCGTGTGCGTGTGCGTGTGCGTGTGCGTGTGCGTGTGTGTGTGTGTGTGTGTATAAGTATATCAATATGTTAATATATATACATATAAATAATATATATATGTATATATATATATATATATATATATATACATAAATATGTATGTATGTTTGTGTATA